TGATAGCACGGCCGTGCGCATTGACAGCACATCCGCCGACGTTGTGGGCAACCCCGTTCACGTTGCCCGCTGCCGCAGAGGCGCTCCCAAATTCCTGGCTGGACGGCGTGTCAGTCCCCTGGCGATGCTCCAATTGCCGCCACCTGTGCCAGGCACGAAAACGCCCTGCTTGCTTGCACACAACATGAACGTGACAGTCGTGCGCGAAGCCACCAACTGCACTTGCAAACTACCAGCCTCTCAATGTGCACGATTTAAATGAAATCCTTGCTTGTTGCAAGGGTTGGTTGGTCAATGACGTGCGCCTCAATCAGCACTGCATGCCGCAGTTACTGGATGCGTACAGCTGCGTGCAGCAGTTAAGGCCACATGCAATGCCACTCAACAGAAGGCCCAGCTAAGTTCGCTTGCTGTCAACCCAGGCGGAATTCTCTGGATGGTCTGGTGGCTGGATAGAAGAAGCTGCTGTGGTGCTGCTGCGGATTTTGGCGGCTTTCAGGTTGCGGCGGCCATGAGTGCGGCAGAGGCCGCTGCTGCAGCATTGAGCATATTGGAGCATAGTGTTATTTCGTTGTTGCCAAGGCCCATCAAAGCGTGGCAGCAGTGATGCCATCACATCAAAGCATCGGTCCCGTGTCCCAGATGGGTTTTGTTCGTTGTGTCCTCTGTGATGCTCTTCGTATTGGTTTATCTCCTGCCCGTTGCTGTTGTTGATTGAACCCACACCCCATTCACTGAAATGCGCACGTGCCCTTCAGCGGAGAGCGGCAGCTGTAGGACATGCCCATGGGGGCATGGGCACGGGCGTTGTGGCCAGCAGTCTATGACTTTTACCCGACCAGCTGTGGCGGGACCAGGAACCATTGGATTCCACGACAGGGCGGCAAAGTAGTCAAAAGTAGGCTTTTGCGGGTTGACGCAGCGCATCCACGCGCGCATCTTGTCCTGATAGCTGTGATGTGGCTTGGGGAGGGCCACAGGCACGCAAGCATGTGCGCGGCATATCATCCAACCCCTCCCCAGCAGTTGCGGTGCATGTACACGCAGTTTGGGTCAGCAGAACACGTCTGATTGGGGATGAGCAGCTGCGGCATGCGCTGCCGTTGGGTGGGTTGCGGGTCTCGGGGCAGCACGGCCACGCATGGCCTGGCGCCAGGGCTGAGGTGGCTGCTTGAGGGGTCGCCAGGCTATTGAGGAATGAGGTGAGCTGTGGTGGGTGGCAGCTCATGCAATTAGCTGCAATAATTTGCTGTGGTGACATCTGGCCAGTGACACCCGCCTTGCTGGCCGCGACACCGGCCCGTCCTGACCCTGGCTTGGTGCGCTGTCAGCAAGGGTCGCTGACCAACTCTTTGAAGTGCCACTGCTTTCTCGTTGATGACTCTGACACGCTCGCACCACGCAGAACGTTGAGATCACTCGCGGTGCCTCTAGGAGTGGAGGAGCGACGATGGAGTACGCGCTGAACGGTCAGCTTGACACCATGATAGGCCAACGGTGAGGCGGCATGGCACCAGGATCGCGGTGGCGCGCCCGGTTGCTGCACTGGTCAATATCTAGGCTAGCGCCTCAACATCGGCGCGGGTGCAGCGCCTGGTTTTCCCTGTCGGCCGGGCGACACAAGCAGCTCTGCTTAACCACAGTTCAGCAAAAAGCCGCATAGCGTAATGGTCCACGACATGCTTCCACCTTGCCCGCGCAGCTTCGTAGTGCTGCACCTGGCGAGCGAGCGCGGCGCCGCACTCAACGGCCGCCGCTGCGTGGTCACGGCGCGCAGCGGCCGCCGCCTCGCCGTGCGCATGCTCGACGATGGCTCCACGTTTAGCCTGCAGCAATTCAACCTGATGCCCGAGGGCGAGGCGACCGCTTACACGCCATCGAATGGGCCTGGGGTGCACGAGGCTGACCTGAAGCGTTTCCTGGCTGCCGCCGCCGCTTCGCATGACAGCGACCACGCGGATCCCACCACCAGCGAGCGCGCCGACATCCGCGCGCGCATGCGCTACGTGCGCGAGCACCTCGCGCGCCGCCGCGTGCCGCCGCCGCCGCGCTGCGGGGACATGCTGCTGGCGCGGGGTGAGGTCGAGGGGCACGACATGCTGTCGGTTCTCGCCGCGGCACGGCCCTGCTGCCAGGGTGACGGCACGGTGGACTTCAGGTGAGCACAAGCACGCGGGGGCGGCGTTCAGGGAGTCAACCGCCCTTCAAACGCCTTCAATGCCTTCAAGTTTTGACCCTGAACAACTCACAACCTCAGGCAACTCGCAATCCACTTCAATAGATGATCATCCGTTGCAGACAGCCTCGTCCATTTACCAGTTAGATTTGAAAACTGCGCCGCCCTGGCCAGCCACTTTGTCCCGGGCCCTGCTTCTGGAAGCAACAAGAGGTCCCTCGCATGCCCTCCTGCCTCCCCGCAGGCGCTTCAACGCCGGGCTCGTGGGCAGCGGCGGCGACTGCGCCGTTTGCATGGAGGCCCTGCCCACCTCGGAGCGCGCCATCGGCTTCCCCTGTGGCCACTCGTTCCACGTGGGCTGCGCCCGCCCCTGGCTGGGGTCGCACAACACCTGCCCGACGTGTCGCTTTCCTTTGAAGATGCCGGGTGCGCAGTGCATGGGTGTGTGCGCTTTCTGCAGCCGTTGGCATGCCGTTGCAAGGGGAGCTGGTTGGTGTGACACATAAGTGCCCCTATCAGTAGGCCGTACCCCCACCCTCACAACCCCCAAGCGCTTGCGTGCGCTTGCGCTCGCACATGGGCATTTGCGTTCACCTGCACATGCGCATGCGTGCACGTGCACACTCACCCTCGTGCTTCCGAACACGTCACCAGTCTCTCTCTCACACACACACAAACACACACACACACAATCTTACTTTTTGACACGGCCACACGCACGCTTGCAGACACACTCAGACACACTCACTTACACACACACACAGTCACACTCGCAAACACTCACACTCACACTCACACTCACACACACTCACTCACACACAAATGTACACACACTCACGCACGCGCGCGCGCGCACACACACACACACACACATCAGACGCAGACACGCTCCACCCCACCCCGCCCCCAGGCTGAGAGTACGCGCACTTTATGGGGGCGCGGGGTGATGACCAGCTGCATCGGCGGCTGCGCGAGTGGTTCATCTCGGGTTTCTGCGAGCGCTGCCAGGCAGTGTACATGGAGGTGCGGCTGCAACCCCTGCCTCCCCAGCCTGCACTGGGTTGACGACAAACTCGATGGCAACATCCGGCCATGCATGAACATGCACACATGGCATGCTGCTGCCAGCCGAACCCAGCCCCTCAGAGGTGCCGCCAGCCATGGCTAGGCGCACCCTAGCTTCCACGCACTTGCACTTGCCTGCTCTGCACGACAGGTTGGGGGGTTGGGGGCGAGCAGCATTGGGGCTGCTCCTGACTTGCTGTTGAGGTTGGTACCAAATTCTCGAGCCACGCGGCAGCCCAGCCGCATGCGCGCGCAACCGGTACAACCTACGCAGGCGGACCCGCTGCTGGCGATCCCTGATGGGAAGGGCGGCACCATGCTGGTTCCGCGCTCGCAGCTGCCCGACCGCTAGTGGCTGGTCGCTGCCTTGGTTGCACAAGGCATTGCCCCCAGCAACTGCAAGCTTGCCGTCAGATTGATAGATTGACGTCCCATCCTTGTAGCGGCCATGCGTCAATGCACGAGCAATCACCACTCACTGAAGGAGCGCCGTAACTGATGTAGCATACTCCGTGGTGGCGACGACCGCTGGTCAATGGCCCGCCCGTCCCAGAAACGTCACGATGTGGACGATTAAGCACAGCAAGCGGAGGCCGCCGTCAGAGCACAGCCCCTTCCCACGCTGCACTCAAAGCTGCCGCCCTGCCCCTGATATAGCAGCATGTTACATTACTGCATTCTATCCCGTACATCACACAAGTCCCTTGCTTGCCTGGATCACTGACTGCGTTGCCTTTCGACTGCGTTGCCTTTTGACTGCGTTGCCTTTTGACTGCGTTGCCTTTTGACTGCATTGCCTTTTGACAGGCCTGGCATGCGGCCAGCCTGCATGCAGGATCGCCCGGCTCTGGCCCGCGCCCCATCCAACAGCGCTGTGCTGCGATGTGTAGGCCACCAAGCCTGGCACGCGCCCCTGCCTTGCGCTCCCTCGTGCCATTTGAAGACCCCGTGCTCTGCCCTGCTTTTGAAGGCCCTTGATCGGTGTGTAAGCATGCACATCACCTGCGGTCCCTGGGGCGTCGCACGGCCAGCTGGCAGGCTGATTTCTCTTCAACTGCCCAAACAACGGCCTGCTGTCAATCATTGCTGCTGAGCTTTTCCAGATGCGGTAGGGGCATCTGTAGGTCAGGGAGCCTTCACCCCAACCCGGATGCCCAGCTGCGGTGGCTGGGCACTGAGGGGGTTGGAGACATCCAAAGCTGCGAATGGTTACAGCACTTGGCCTCGCCAGAACGTACTAGCCCTGTTTCAATTGTATGAATACCGGTGCAGCATCATGCGATCGACAATAGGGGGGTGGAGGGCAGACTGCATATGATGTGCTGGCGTCGTGCGCCCATGCCTCGAGGCGGGCCCGCCACTCTCTCGTCTCTGTTTTTGCGTCTATGAATGCTCTGCTAAGTACCGTTTCTCGCGACATACCAGCCTCCCTCTGCCGTCTTTTGCCCTTTGCACAAAAGCGTCGCCCGCAGCACAGCGCGCGCACGCGGCCCAATGCGGGCCGCACGCCACACCGCGCCGTGCGCACGACCATCAAAAATGCGTCCGCCCACGTGGCGGCGCGGCAGCGCCCGGCTGCCTAGCGCTCGCGTCCGTCTGGGGGCACTGAAGTGCACCCTACCATGGGCAGGGGCGCAACCGGCAGGCTTGGGCCACCGCACATGAAAGTACACTGAACAGGCCCAGGAGTGGCGTATAATGGCTGAGTCGGCGCAGCCAGCCTTGCCCCAGGTATGGCCCACCCCAGGTCGCACAGGAGTGATACCAAGGCAACCAACCGGCGGCCGCCAAAATTGCAGAGTGATAAGCAGCGCAAAACGCTCTTGAGGACACCCCCGCCGCGTTGAAAGGCACCCATGTGCCACCCTAGGGTGGTCTTACAGCAGCCCTGCTGTGCAGCCCCACCCCTCCTCAGCCTCGCACGCCGCGCCCGGCCCCCATCAACGCGGGGTGCCAGGCCCAGGCCGGCGTCGCTGCAGCCATTGATCTGCCCGCGCGCCAGCGGTCATGAACCGGCTGCCGCAACACGCCAACAAGCCTCAACGGGTCAGGAGTGCACGCGACGGCGTCCCGGCCGATTACCGGGCCCCGCGCGCGCGCATCGCCGCGGGCACCCCTCACTTGCGACGCCGCATCGTAGTGCGCCGTCGCCGCAACGCCGCCGCGCGCGCTGCGTGGCGCTATGAAACGACGGGATGGTGACGTCATGGAAACGTCACCGCCAGCCGTTGTGACGTCATCACCACGTGAACTTGGCCGCCACAAGCACCTCCTCGTACACCTGGGCTGCGTGGTCCCAGCTGTGGTGGAGGCATGGTGCGATTGGGATGGAGTGTGTTGGTTCGATTACGGTCGTGGGGTTGCAACAGGGGGTTGAGTTGGATGCGCAATGTCACCCTGTCGCTCCGCCACTGCGAAACCGCTACACCCAATTTTGCACTCTGCATCGCTCCCAACCTCCTCCCCCCCGGGTGGCTGTTCAACCGTCCGGAAACAGCCGGCGGACAAAAAAAATAACCTCAACCCCTCAGACACAAACACGTCCACACACCCACACCAAGACACACATGCGCGTGCGCATGTACACGCCCACCCACCACCCCAAAAACAGGCACACGGGTCTTTTCCCACGCCCACCTCAGGTCCTGCTCCATCCCGCGCCGCTGCAGCGCCACAAACGCGTCCCTGTGCTCCCTGTACGTCACCAGCGCGTTGTGGATCTGGCCCCGCATCTGGTCCGCCTCGGCCCTCTCGAACGTCCAGCCCGTGCCGGAGCTCTCGAAGGGGTTGAAGGGCTTGACGGTGTCGCGCAGGCCGCCGACGGCGTGGACGATGGGGGGCGTGCCGTAGGCCATGGCGTAGAGCTGGTTGAGGCCGCAGGGCTCGAACCTTTGAGGGTGGGGTTGGAATGAGTGTGTGTGTGTGCGTGTGTGCGTGTGTGCGTGTGTGCGTGTGTGCATGTGTGCGTGTGTGCATGTGTGCATGTGTGGTGTGTGTGTGTGTGTGTGTGTGTGTGTGTGGGTCTGTGTGTGTGGGTGTGAGCAAGGCATGGCTGCAAGGGGCTGCAGTTGCAGGGATGGCTGGGCGTCCGCTCCACACCTCTCATTGCTCCGCACTCCCGAAAGCACCCGACCAGCAGGTGTTTATGTGCAGTGGATTGCATATCCGCCGCGATGCACTGCACACAAACGCCCTCAAACCACCCCGCACACGCCCGAACAATAACGACCGTCGCGCGACCGCCGCTGCCCACGACCCCTCGGGGATCCGCGCAGGCCCCGCGCCAGCTCCCGCGCCGCCAGACGCGCCCCGCTGCAGGGGGCGCGCGCGCGCGCCCGCCAAGCG